CCATCTTGGTTGGCAGTTAATTTGCATATCGCCCTGATTAGCCAATGGGAAGCGTGTCAGAGGTACAGTTAATTACCATGTTTGTCTATTATTAGATAGGATTATTGACTATATTCCCTATGTAGTACTTTACATCCCCATGACTATTCTGTAACTACTAAGAAATCTATCTATGAAAATGTCTTCCTTTCTTATACTATTTTCACAAAATTCATTGGTTTTAAAAAAAATTATGATAAGAACACTTAACATGAGAGCTACCATCTTAACAAATTGTTAAGTGTACAATAAGGTATTGTTAACTATAGTCACTACATGGTACAGAACATGATCTCTAAAACGTAATCATCCTGTATAATGAAATGTTATACAGATGGAATAACAACTCCCCAATTCCCTCCTTCCCCCAGTTTCTGGCAACCACTATTCTATTCTCTGTTTCTATGTTTGATTATTTTAGATAACTCATATAAGTGGAATCAAGAAGTATTTGTCCTTTTGTGACTGGCTTATTTTACTTAGCACAATGTCCTGAAGGTTCACCAAGTGATTGTATATGACAGGATTCCCTTCTTTTAAAGGATGAATAATAGCAAAGTAAACTTTTGTCTGATAAGGCAAAAGAATTTTGAAAAGATATTGTCTTGTATTTATATAGTAGATTTGTAAAACAGACTCAATATTTTTTTTAAACCCTGACATTTAAAATGAAGACTTAATAATACTCCTGGTATACTTGATAGAAAACAAGAAATGGAATCAACATCATTAAAATGTCCATACTACCCAAGGCAATCTACAGATTCAATGTAATACCTATTAAAATACCAATGGCAAATTTTATAGAGCTAGAACAAACACTACAAAAATTTATATGGAATCAAACAAGATCCCAAATAGCTGCAGCAATTTTGAGAAAGAAAAACAAAGTTGGAGGGATCACAATACCAGATTTCAAATTATACTCACCGTAATCAAAACAGCCTGGTAATGGCACAAGAACAGGCATATAGATCAATGGAACAAAACAGAGAACCCAGAAATCGACCCAAGCTATTACACTTAATTAATATTTCACAAAAGAGGAAAGAGCATACATTGGAGTCAAGACAGTCTTTTCAATAAATGGTGTTGGGAAAATTGGACAGATACATGCAAAAAAATGAAACAAGACCACCAACTTACACCATACACGAGAATAAACTCAAAATGGATAAAAGACTTAAATGTAAGTCATGAAACCATAAATATCCTTTAACAGTGGTTCTCAACCTTCTGGCCCTTTAAATACAGTTCCTCATGTTGTGACCCAACCATAGAATTATTTTCGTTGCTACTTCATAACTAATGTTGCTACTGTTATGAATCGTAATGTAAATATCTGATATACAGGATGGTCTTAGGTGAGCCCTGTGAAAGGGTCGTTTGACTGCCAAAGGGGTTGCGACCCACAGGTTGAGAACCGCTGTCCTAGAAGAAACTATACCAGTAGGCAGCAAAATCTCAGACGTCTCTTGTAGCAATATGTTTACAGATACATCTCCTAAGGTAAAATAAACTAAGGAGAAAATAAATAAATGGGATGACATCAAAATAAAAAGCTTCTGCACAGCAAAAGAAACCACCAAAATGAAAAGAGAGCCCACTGTACGGGAGAACATACTTGGCAATGATACATCTGATAAAGAGTTAATATCCAAACTAATAAGGAACTCAGATAACTTAACAAAAAGGAAGTCAAACAATCCAATAAAAAAAATAGGCAAAGGACCTAAATAGACACTTCTCCAAAGAGGACATACAGATGGCCAAGAGACATATGAAAAAAATGATCAAAGTCTCTAATCATCTGAGAGATGCAAATCAAAATGACAATGAGGTACCATCTCTCACCTGTCAGAATGGCTAACATCAACAAATCAACAAATGACAAGTGCTGGTGAGGATGTGGAGAAAAGAGAACCCTAGTACACTGACTGCTGGTGGGAATGCAGACTGGTGCAACCATTATGGAAAACAATATGGAGTTTCCTCAAAAAATTAAACATGGAACTGGCATTTGACCCAGTGATCTCCTAGGAATATATTCTAAGAAATTCAAAGCACCAATCAGGAAGGATATATGCATCCCTATGTTCATAGCAGCACAATTTACAATAGCTAAGATCTGGAAACAGCCCAAGTGCCCATCAGTAGATTAATGGATAAAAAAGCTGTGGTACATTTTTACCATGGCACACTATGCAGCAGTAAAAAGAAGAATTTCTTACCCTTGAGACAGCATGGAGGGACTTGGAGAGTATCATGCCAAGTGAAATAAGTCAGTCAGAGAAAGACAAGTATCACATGATCTCACTCATATGTGGAATCTAAGTAACAAAATAAACTGATGAACAGAATGGATCCAGAGACATGGGAGCATGGAACAGAGTGTGGAATCTCAGAGGAAAGGTGGGTGGGAGGTAATCACCCAAATACCTTATTTGCATATATGCATGACCCATGGACATGGGCAATAGGGTGCTGAAGCCCTGGGGTCAGGGAGCAGGGGTGGGGAGGAAGGGTGGAAGGGTACATATATAATACTTTCAACAATAATTACTTTAAAAAAGAAAAAAGAGCCCTAACCGGTTTGGCTCAGTGGATAGAGCGTCGGCCTTTGGACTGAACGGTCCCAGGTTCGATTCTGGTCAAGGGCATGTACCTTGGTTGTGGGCATATCCCCAGTAGGGGGTGTGCAGGAGGCAGCTGATCGATGTTTCTCTCTCATCGTTGTTTCTAACTCTCTATCCCTCTCCCTTCCTCTCTGTAAAAAATCAATAAAATATATTTTATAAAAAAGAAAAAGAAAAAAGAAACGGAGACCTAGATTTTTCTTGCAGTCTTATTTATGGTAATACTTCCCCTTAGATTTTACCTTACTAGTATATGTGCCTAAGAATAAACACATTCTCTGCATTTGTTTAACCTTTGATTTAGTTTTGATTTGGGTTACTCAACTATGTGTATATGTGTGTTTCTAAGAATATATATTTAAAAAATGTTTTTTATAGTAAAGGTGGAAATTTATTGAAGAACAAGTACAGACTCCCACGTGGGGAGGGGGAAAGAGTCCCATTGAGTCCCTTTTCCCTTTGGTTTATAAAGGCTGCAGATCTTTGTGCCTTGATAGTCCCTCTGATTAGTCACCATTCCCCTTTGATTTGGTCACTATAGCAACTCCTGAGCTTAAATCTCATGTGAAGTTCCTTCCTTCTCCCTTTTGTTCTCCTATTCTCTTTGGGCTTTCTTCCTCCTCCTTTATTTTGTAAATATAGACCTTTTGCTACTCCCAGCTCCCTTGTCTTGTGGAAATGTAACTTCTACTGCTCCCAGCTTCCTTGTCTTATGGAAATGTACCCTTTTGCAGCTCTGTAGCCCTGTGCTTTTTCCATGGACCCTTTCATTTTTAAAAATTTCCCTAAACCTGTCTATTTCAGCCCTAAAATCTCCTTTCAGTTTCCCCTCTGATTAGGAAACTCCCTACTGCCATTGGGGACAGGGGATGCCGAGTCTGTCTGACTGCTTCCTGCTGACAAAGGGCTCGTTGTTTGATAGAGAACAGACTAGCGGCTATCAGAGGGGAAGGGGGTTGCAGGGCTGGGTGAAAAGGTGAAGGGATTAAGCTTACAAAACAAAACAAAGCCCCAAACTCATAGACACAGACAATGGTATGGTGATTACCAGAGAGAAAAGGGGGTTGGGGAGGAGGTACAAGAGGATATACTAGTAGGGAGGATAAATGGTGATGGGAGGAGACTTTACTTAGGGTGGTGAACATACAATACAATATACAGATAATCTATACTAATAAAAGGGTAATATGTTAATTAGACTGGACATCTTCTGGGTGACCTTCTGGATGTCCTTCCAGACAAAGCTATGATGGCGGGCCCGAGGCAGAGGCGGTTAGGGACGATCAGGCCAGCCGGGGAGAGCAGTTAGGGGGATCAGGTCAGCAGGGGAGAGCAGTTTGGGGGATCAGGCTGGCCGTTAGGGCTATAAGGCCGGCAGGAGAGAGCAGTTAAGGGGGATCAGGCCAGCTGGGGAGAGCAGTTAGGGGTGAAATGGCAGGCAGGCAGAGAGCAATTAGGGGGATCAGGCCAGCAGGGGAGAGCAGTTAGGGGGATCAGGCAGGCAGGGGAGAGCAGTTAGGGGGATCAGGCAGGCAGGG